AAAATGGCCAAAACCAGTCCATTTCAGCTCACTAATACCTAGGATATCAATCTTTATGCATTCCATTACATTTTTGACAACTTCCAATTTTCCTAAATTCATACTTTGTACATTCCATGTTCTGATTATTAATGGATGTTTTTGCAGCTGTTTCTCCTCAATTTGAGTGGTACCATGTCAGTAAATGGAGGTTTCCAATGTTAAGCACATTGGAGTTTAAAGCATGTGGAAATTAAAGCTGCATTTTCTTTGGCCTGACCAGCTTATCGAATTTGAAGGGAGAATCAGAAGACGGCCATACTCTTAACTGTATGAGAAAAATTACCTTCTAGAACAATGTGAGGAGCTCTGGTAGCATAGTGCCTAAGGCACTTGACTGCTAACCAGAAGGCTAGCGGTTCAAGCCCACCAGCCACTCATCAGAAGGAAGGTTGGGCAATCTACTTCTGTAGTGATACTGCCTCAGAAACCCAAGGAGGGGTTGCTATGAGTTGGGTCCAACTCAACGGCAAATAACAACAACAACAGTACAGTGTGGGTGTGTATGGGGGTGCATGTGGGTGTGTGTGTGTGTGTGTGTGGAGGGACATGCAAAAAGAGTCACCATGGAATAGCCTCTGACTCAGGGTGATCCCGTGTGTTCAGAGCAGAAATGTGTTCTGTAGGGTTTAGCATGGCTGAATTTTCAAAAGTAGCTCACCAGATCTTTCTTCTAAAATGTCTCTGGGTAGACTGGAATGCCAAGCTTTTGGTTAGCAGCAGAGCATGTTAACAAACCATCTGCACCACCCAGGGACTCTAGTACAAAGGAAAGGTCTAGGAAATCTGCTTATGCCAAGTAATAAAATAGTAACACACTGAGTTATTGGGTATTGTTTTGTTCTTCAATCTCTTCAAGATGAAAGAATTCACATCCCAAAAATTTTGTCTGGGTTATATATCATCCTTGAAGACAAACCTAAAAGCAGACCTAAAACTTGCTTCTTTATGATAGAAAAATACTTAAATTATTCTGTTTATGCTAAACATGGTACCAAAAATCCAAAACTAGAAGGTCAGAGGGCAAAGGTTCTACTTCTGGTTTTCTAACATGATAGGCACAAGAGTCTCAGCAACTTTAATACAGCTGCTTTCCCTCCCAAACGCTCTGGCTGCTGCTATTCCCCCAGGCTATTAGGCTAAAGCCCTATCAAGTGACTATTTGGTGTCTTGAGCAGGATCTGAGAATCCTACAATTTTCCTGGAAATGGGAAGATTCTCGTTCTCACCATTTTAGGTAACATGTTGATAACAATTGAGACCATACAACTAACAAAGCTACAAAGAATATTACTTATGAGAGATCATTCCTAATTGCATCAGAGATGTGAAAGAACAGCAGCTGGGCTAAGAACGAGATTGTTTTTTGTTTTTGATTTTGAGGGCAAGCCTTTCTAAAGGTATCTTAAATGAATCTAGGTGAGCAGAATGGCATGTGCTGAGTCAAAACCAAAACCAAAGCTACTGCCTTCGATTTGGATCCGACTCATAGTGACCCCTCCTTGGGTTTCCGAGGCAGTAGCACTACACAAGTAGACTGACTGCCTGTCTTCCTTCCAAGGAGTGGCTGGTGGCTTTGAACTGCCAGCCTTCTGGTCAGCAGTCAAATGCCTTAGATGCTAAGAACAGGACAAAGTAGTGCCAGAACTACCTGTGAAAGATAGCCTAGTTAGCTAACATGGGCGAGATCTAGAATATGAGCTGGGGAAAAGCCATTCCATCCTTTGTCGCAAGGTAGGTCTCAAGTAATACTGAAAATTAGATTACAGGTATAACAGGTATAAGAGGGATATATGACAGCCTCAGTCTCCCCAGTTCTCATTGTTCTGAATCTCTGAATTCTATTGCTAAGCACTCTCTAGTCCCTCATCTAGTTATAAAACAAAACTATCACATCAGAAAGCTGGCTAAACTTCCTATTTATCTAAGATGAATTATTTCCTATTTCCTTGTCTAAAGTCAGTTAACTCCTACTACATCTCAAGTGATCTGGGGTACCAGATACGGAACAGAAGTGATGACCAGTTACTGGTATACTTCTAGTTACTGTTCAAAATGTTCTTATTGTCCTAAGAATCTGAGCCACATTTGGTTGGCAGAATTATTCCCAAGCGAGCCTGCTGGTAACCAATTTATAGAAGGGACCTAGCAATCCTCAAATACTCACACACATTCATTATCCCATCAAAGTCTCCTCAAGAAAAGCTTTCACCTAACAGGCAAAGCAAGGATCATCAGGGTGGCCAGGATGCCTATCCAGTGCAACCAAGGGTGCAGCGGAACTCCCTTTGCAGAGGGTAGCATATGACCTGAGGGTAAAGGACTTACCCTACCCTGATTGGCTTGTACTACCACCTCTGCATAGTTCTCTAGGAGCTCTGGTGGTATAGTGCCTAAGGCACTTGTCTGCTAACCAGAAGGCTCATGTTCAAACCCACCAGCCACTCCTTGGAAGGAAGACTGGGCAATCTGCTTCATACAGATACTGCATTAGAAACCCAAGGAAGGGTCACTATGAGTCAGGACTGACTTGGTGGCAGTGAGTTTGGTTTTTTTTTTTTTTTTGGTATAGTGGTATAGTGCACTATTTCCTCCTTTCCATATCTTTGTTTAAAATTTATATTTCTTAAACAGCAAAGACACAGTACTTTACACAGACCAGAAACACAGTTAAGTATTGCTTTGAATGACCTGCTCCATTTTCTGACCTGGAAAAATTCAGTCAACCAGGTGTTGTGTTTGCTAAGAGTTCAATATAGCTGATTAGTGTGCTCACTTCTCAGTACAGCACTGGACAGATCAGAATTCCTGAGATCAAACAATTCTCCCACCTCAGAACTTCAAGAAATCAGGTCCCCTGTTGTATAGCTGACACTGATCAACTTTGGGGTGGGGCAACAAGACAAGATGTAACTACTTAAAGAGAGCATACAATGCCCTGGGGATAGAGAGATTCTAAAGGGTAAGAAGTGGCCTAACTCCAGTCCCTTAGTGCCTTTTCCCCTCTAGAGAGGGTAGCAATGGAACTGCTGCATAATGCTAACAGAGCTAATGTGATAATTAAGTCAATTAACATTTAGTTAGTAGTTAGAGGGAGGTGAGAGACTACAGCAATTGATATGTAAACACTAACAGCTGATGGTCATTAAATGAACAATTAGACCCCAAATTTTTCAGTGCCTTTTTTTTAGCCTCTTCTGGTTGGGCAACCCTACTTCCATAGTGATACTGCCTCGGAAACCCAAGGAGGGGTCGCTATGAGTTAGGGCCGACTCGATGGCAAATAACAACAACAACAACAACAACAACAACAACACAGCTCTAATGCCTTACTGAGAATAAAGGACTCCTAGAGTTTAAGCTCTGGTAGCATAGTGGCTAAGGCACTTGACTGCTAACCAGAAGGCTGGCGGTTCAAACCCACCAGCCACTCCTC